AATATTTGCACTCAGTGAACTGTCTGACAAAGTGGGACACGGTACCAAAATATAATAAAATATAAACTATAAACATGACAACCATAAACAGGAGAAACACTTGTATCATCACATTATGATAACTAATTGCTAGAGATGAGTACACACGTGATTTCAGCAGATTTGAACTTACATGTCCAATAATATCAACAACCTTGTACTGATTTACCATTGAGTAGTCCTTGATAATGAAAGGGAATGAGGAGGAGGAAGGTAAGAGGAAGAGAGGGATAAAAGAAGCAAAATAAAAAAGGATTAGAAAGATAGTGTAAGAAAGATAGTGCGTAACGCTGATTAGAAATTAGAATAAAGAAGGCTCAGTGGATAGCGCTGATTAGCATATACAAATTCATAATGATGCTATTAGCCAAATATGCGATACATGCACAAGCACTCGATGATAACCACTAAACCATAGAGAGAGTAATGACTGAGAATGGTCCCTCCTTACTTCATGCTCCTCTCTTGTAATGGTTGGAGTGTCCACTGTCTCCCTTCGCTTGATCTTGGGTCTCTGAGGGCTGAGAAGGTTCTGCTGTTGTGGCTCTTTGACTTTATTATTATTATTATTACCGATCCCTTTGAAATGATCGACGGTGAACGAGTGTGATCTCCTGTGTTCTGGGGGAGGGGTAAGACTGCTCAAGGCTAACATTGTCTCTTCTTTCCTGCTCAAGTCTTTGCCAGGAGAATTAGCTCCAACAAGTGAGTCTCCATCACTTTTAACTTTTATCTGAATACTGGGTCTAGTACTGGTACTGTTTTGTTCGTAGCTATTGCTGCTAGGAGCATGAGATTCTCTTAACCTCCTCTCTGTCTCTCTTATCACCTCGTTCTGGCCATCATCTTCAACTTTTATAACGTGTGTGCGAAATGATCCCGTTTCTGTCTTGCTTTCACCGTCTTTCTTTCCTCCCGACTGCTTCAGGTGGCCATCTATGAAGAACGTGTTAGAGGCAGGCGCTTTGGCTTGCTCCTTCTCCATCGTGCTCATATTCCGGACTCCTTGGTGCTCTGTTGTAAAATGCCTTTTTCTCCTTTCTCTTTACTCGTGGGAAAGAAATAGAGCAAGACACGAGTGTTGTTCCTTCTCTTCTAGTCGATGCAAGGCAGAGAGCTGTCAAATACTTGGGGAAAAGGCGAAAGTGAAGATTTTAGAGCCTCTCTTATCAGTTTATTCGCTTTAGCCTCTAATGTGGAATTTTAAATTTTTCTTCTTTGTAAAATATTGTTCATTGAATTAGAACCTTCAACTAAAAATACGGTCAGAAAAATTTCATTTTAAACTTTTGCTAAAATAGAGTCATTTACGGTATTGCACATGCGCTTTCAATATGGCTGCCAATCAAGGTAAGAGTACATGTTATTTAAAACCGTCACTTTTCACGAACTTTCTATTGATTTGGTAGGTTATTCTTCTCAAGGATATAGCCAGAATCCTCAATCAGGAGGAGGGTAATGATTCCTTAGTATTGTATTGTGGGGGGAATGTACACGTACATATGTATATACTTTACCCTTAACAATTATTTTAAGTAGTATTGTTATATTGGAAGCCACACCTTTGCGTGGAGTGTGGGGTCTTGTGAAACTGGACCCCCGCCCACAAAACTTCATGTTTTGTTGTTCCTCGTACATAGGCAGATGTACATGTACATGTATGGTCATGTACATGTACTTTATGATCTGTTTGTATTTGTTTGTGTAACGGGTACATGTATATTGATAATTGAAGAATTACTACATGTGCATCTTTATTGTCCTAATATGAGTAAGGGACGTGATACTGTCACTTTAATGGCTTCTTGTTTCCTTATATGTACGTACATGTACACTGTATGTCATAATTGTAATATTATATTAATTATCAATTTTATTTTAATAATTCTTTTTTAAGTGATTATGATACCATATAGCGGGAAATTTTGGAGGGACTAAAATTTGGCGAATTGCTAAATTTTTGGTGATTGGGGAATTTTAATTTGCGCAAATTTGTGTCCATGTGCCATTGAGCATGTGT